GCTTGTCTCTCTCACCATAAGGGATCTCCAGCTGATCTGGGTCTAGTTTTGTAACTACCAAGACATAGTTTGAGTGAGGTGTTATGACAGTAGCACAAACTGGAGTTCAATTTAGTGGGAGTGAAATGGAACGTAGGGTATAGGGTATACACTACAGCTAAAGATATATAGTTAGTTGTAGTTAGTAATTTGTATAATTTTTATATTTTATGAGGTGTATTCTTTGTAGTAATTGTATACATTCTTGAATTATTATTTATTCTAAAAAAATACACTACAGGTAGTAATGGACAGAGAGCTGGGCACAATATAGTATAGGTTGGGAATAGTGCAAACAAAAATTAAGAAATTAGGTAATTGGTGTATGAGATAGATACTGTACATGCATATTGAAAAAAATAAGTTAAATATACAAGCAGTTGTCCAACTTAAACAGCTTAATAGCCATGGCAATAAAGGATAACTTGGCAGAATTGCTGTTAAATCTGCATAGTCTAAATCGACAACCTGATGAAGGAGCTCAGATTCACTGTGCAAGGGGTGGAATTGATAGTCAATAATTATTGGCCTTCTGCACTATTGTTTGGTATAAATGGATGCCACCAATAACGTGGTTGGCTACCTGCACTATCCTGTTCAGTCTGTTTAATTGTGTGTATTCAGGTTGCTAAACCAGGTTCCTGCAATGAATGCTAGAACAGAATTAATAAAAGTTTTACAGAATAAGGTCATTGTAGTACAAACATTAAAAGAGCAGAGTTTTCTCAAGAAGAACAAGCGCTGTTGGCTCCTCTTACATACAGTATCGCATCTCTGTTTTCCTCAAAGGTTAGCTTGTAATCAACAGTTAAGCCAGGATATTTGTAACTAATAACAATTTCAATTTCTTACTCCTCATTAACTGTTGGTTTTGCAATTGCCTTATGCTTTCCATAATCAAATATCATATCTTTGGTTTTCTGCATTAAGATCAAGGAAGGAGTTGTTATGTCATTCAAAAAAATAATCCGCTACAGGCTCCTGATCTTGATCAGTGTCTGCAATTTAGAGGACACTGAGAACGTCATCAGCAAATCTAATGATGTGTCTGTCCTCAAAAGGGCTTCTACAGCTGTCTGTGTGAATAATGTACAGGAGTTGGGATAGCGTACAGCCCTGGGGAGACCACTGGAAGAACACAGCTGCTTTGATATAAAACTGTTTACTCTCACTTTGTGATCAGTTGGTCAAAAGATTAAAATCCAACATACAATATTAAAATCTAGATTACAATTTGGGATAAAATAGACTGGGGTCTGGTACAGTATATTCTGAGGTACTCTACAGAATGGGGCATGGTTCAGTACTGTATATTCTGGACTACAGCACAGCCCAGGGTGTGGTGCAGAACAGAGTAACGGTACAATACAAACTGGGGGTACAGCACCTACTGCGGGTGTGATACGATACAGATTTGGGGTATAGTACAAACCTGGGTGTGGAGCAGTACACACGGAGGTACAGTACAAACTAGTGTGGTGTGTGGAGAGAATGGATCAGTGGAAACAATATAGCTGTCAGGATAGAGGGAGAGAACTATTTGAAACTCTATACCCAATGGCCAGACCCTTGGGTGGCTTTTAAAAAAGTTACAAAATTGTATTTTTTGCTCCCAAGTTAAATTCACTCTTCATTTTCTAAAACCCATTGTGAACCTCTGCATTTGAAATTAAATTGACTTATACAAGGTAGAAAAAGAAAACGGTAAATTAATGGAAGCAAAGCTGGAGTAGGTACCATGGAGGATAACTGGCCCTGGAGCCTGAGAGTTGTCCTATTTGCCACTGACGTGACAAGTCCCCTAAAATGACACAGCAGGAAGTTGAGAAGAAACAAGTGCCAGTGACTGTTTTACCTAGCTGAAGAATGTATAACCAGAGATCTTCTGCTCTGGCCAGCCTGCTCTGACCCCTTGCAGGGAGGAGAATGGTAGCCACCCACTCCTGAGCAAAGGTTCGACACTGTACTTTTCCATGTCGCCAAGTCTTTAATTGTCACGGCTGCTGTCCTACTCATTTAACACTCTACAATGGTTCACATTCCTGTGTGCTTTCTGATTCCCCACTCTGGGTTCTGTTAGCATTGTCACCTCAAGCTTCCACAACTGACATCACACAGAAGGGGATTAGGCCTTGCATCATTAATTAGTTCCCATAAAAGTAAGAACTCTCATTTTACAGAAATTCATTTTCCTTCAAACTTACCAGTATTGATTCATCCATTTATCCATTTTCTAACCACCTCATCCACTTCAGAGTCGCAGGGGAACTGGAGATTATCCTGGTAACGGCCGTTAGGCCAAATACACCCAGGTTGGTAGCTGCGTCATGCATGCATAGGCTGCAAAGGAACAAGTAATAGGTTTATTCCATGCTGAAAAGAGAAGAAATAAAAAACACAACGTTTTGGCCGCAGAGCATTCTTCACTCACACCTGAAGAATTACAAGGACACAATTTGTGATCTTTGTTTAGAATTGAGTGACAGTAGAATGATTACGAGTGAAGAGAAGAAAGGTTGGTCATTTTGGAGCAAACATACTGTATATGTAACAGGCTATGTGGGCTGTTGTGTTGGGCAGAGCATTTCAGGATCATAGTGTCTGTCCAATTCAAGTTACCTGTGCTATGGCTCTCTGTCACAATTTTAAATAGTGTGCTTCCCATATTTGTAAACATTTCACAATACATTAATCCCCAATGAACCTAAGCAGGAAACTGAGATGCAAGTAATGATATTTCATTCTGGGCGTGAGATAGTTGGGATGGGGCAGAATTTCAATTCAAGCAGTCATGAGAATATTTTAATGAATGGCAAGTCTAGTTGCTTTGAATTTTTTGTCTTAGATGTTTTTATTTGAAAGTTCAACCATAACTGGAAAGCTGGTCTTTAACTTGTTTCCTGTTAGTACTATGAGATCTCTCCCTTCATGCTATGGTGTGTTATAGCCTACAGGTCCTGCATGTCATATAAGGCTGACCTTGTCTGCCATGGTCAGATGTTGGCATGTTTGAAGCTCGGATACAGATGTCCTCCTCTTTCCCAGTCAGAATGATCTTGCTGAAGAAGAAGAAGTAAATCTTATTTGTCTCATTCCTGCCCCTCCCTATAATTTAGGTACCAGAAGCTGAGTGCTGTTCTAAATATCGATGCAATTCTCATTGCCATCATTACTGTTGTTTGTAACTTGTGGATGACATGAATTGTATTCCTTGGTGACACTAAAAAGAGTGCAGGAGTCCACTTCAGGTGATCTGATCGATTGTTTCTAAACCCTTATTTTCTTTCTCAACAAACATACAGCTATACTGTATCTTAGTATTTATCATGCCTTAGCAATTAGACGTATTTGTGAAACCCTACCCCATGGAAAGCTACTGCTCTTGTTTATACTAAATCCAGCTTTTGAACTCTGTACAGGAGAGGAATGTTATATAATATGTAACTCCAATTCTCCTGTTTTGTTAGTGAAGTGCACTGCAGAAATCTGGTCAATTCTGTATGAAGATACAAAACACAGAGGATCTAGTGAGGTTTTCGACAGACCTCTCAAGGCAAGCTTCTGCGTGAGGCCCTACCTACGTTATGAGACTAGCGATGCAGCCCAATACAGATGTGTATACATCTGCTTCCTTTCCTGCTTGGTTTATTTTGTCACAGTATGGAGTGTGTCAGTGACAAAGCTGCTCCATTCATACATTTTCTACCTGCTTTATCCAATACAGGAGTGCAGAGCAGCTGGAGACTGTCCCAGCAAGCAGTGGGGACTAGGCAGAGTAGACCCTGTATTGGGACACCAGTACATCGCAGGGAACACACACAAGCACACACATACTCACATCAGGGCCAGTTTGCCCAGAAGCAAGTTAACCTACCAGTATGTCACTGGAATGTGCAGTGGGAGGAATCTGAGGCATCTGGAGGAAACCTTTGTAAACCTGAGGAGAACATGCAAACTCCATGCAGAAAACACTACAGGAAATGAACCCAGGGCAGTGAGACAACAGCACCACCATGCTGTCTGCCCCAGTGGTGCACTGGTGTATTAAGAAGCCTTTGGATTGCCTAAATTCTAGTATTCCTCAAACTTGGTCAGCCTGCACTGTTCTGGGGTGTTAAGCCGGAAATGTTGTGCAGTTGGCTAAGGAAATCCTCAAGAAGCAGGACTACCATGTAGAGTCTGGCAGCATGTTTTGCCTGGAGTTTTTATTATACTGTAAATGTCATTTACAGACAAGGAATGCAGTAGTGTGAATTGACCTATCTTTGGAGGACTTTATTTTATATTTATACTGTACATACTGTAATTCAAAATCATTATTATTACTACAATGAATGCTAATAACTTTTTGTTATGAGGTTATCTTGGAATATTTAATATGGTACAATGCTATACTGTGAATGTTAACTTAGTTAACTTAGTTAGTTTTACTGCATGGTCCTTTCCTTACACTGTGTCTTCATAGGCTTTTTGCAATGTATGTGGAAAATAGGAAAGTACATCTGTCAGAACTGCAAAAAAATGATTCAGTTGGGGCTAATATGGATTCCATTCTCCATAAGGTCGATCTAAAGCGTTGGATTTTTTTTCAACTCGGCATTTTCCTGAATAACAGGGAGTGAGTGCCCAGAGCCTTCCTCTCTGGAGTGCACAATCAGAGTCTGGAAAACGTGTCCCAGCACGAGGGGGGTGGGGGGGGATGTGTGCAGGAAAAAACTCAGTCCTTAAAGCCTGCAGAGATTCAGTCTTATAGCCAAGTTAAATTTCTGCAGCTGATCCATGAGAGATCAGGAGCAAAACTCGTGGAAACATAGATAAAGCTATGTAAATGGTAGAGCTATAAAGTATTCAAAAATGCAATGGAAAATTGAGACCCCCCTCGCTTGTTGTGCTGAATGGTCTGACCCACTAGTTCACATGACATGTGGGGTTGTTGCTCTTAGCCATATATAGGAGCATGAGTGGAATGAGACCTGAGAGTCCTATGAGGTAGGCAGCCATCCAGCCAGAGAAGAGCTAACTTTCTGAACTTCTTAAACTGTACAGTGGAAACAGAGCAGAGCAGCTTGTGGTCTGCTTGAGCCATCACTGACAAAAAATAATACTTTTCCAAAGTTTTCCTTGTAATCCAGAATCCTCTGGTTGAAAATGAACGGTCCAGCAGATGGCTTATTTGACTCCTTGCATGAGGATGGGGCATTCATGTTCACTTCAGAGTCTGTTGGAGAGGGGCATCCCGGTGAGTAAGAACCTTTTTCATTACCAAAAGGAGTTCATGTGGATTGTATAACATGTGCACTGTAATGAGAGCACAATTGCAGCAGGCGTGTTTAGAAAGTTCCCTGTATAAGCATGGCCAGAGTATGCCTCCTGTACAGGGGCTGGAGGGAGCTGTATTTGGCTAAATTTATGCCATTCAAATCTGGCTGAGCTGCTCACTGGCTAAACCACCATGAGCATGTCTTTCAAAACCTTTTGCTCCATACTCACTAACTTCAAATGCACCACAGCTAATTTCCCATAGCTCTGCTTAAATTAAAACGAATTTCCCTTTTACTGTTACAATGCCCATGTTGCCCCCTTAGATAATTTGCCCATTTAAACGTTAACAAATGAAAGGATGTATTGTGGCACCTACAACTTAGGTTCAATTGTGTGCTGTGCCAGTCAGCTCAGATGTCACTCAAATGACACAGTTTCACACTCACGCCGGCTGCTTGGTTCACAGGACTCCTGATAGTCTGGGAGCAAAGAGAGACAAGAACTTCAGGCTCCATTGAATGTCAAAATAAGATCATTGCAAGTGCAAAGAGAGCAGGCCTGCCTTACTTTACTCCTTCGTCGATGATTAATCTTTCTGCACAACGTGAAAAGTATACATGTTGTTTGCAATAGATGAATTTCTGTTTTTAAAGGAGTTTTCCCGGACCCCTGTTTACCTGGACGTTTGCAGGACATGGGGCCCTAAACCAGTTGAAACAACTTGGCTTCTTTTACCATTTGGGACATACAGTATGTTTGATTTGGCAGCTCCCTCTAGAAGACAAAGCTTCATTCCCGGGCATATCGACAAGTCAATAGTGCATGGCTCGCCCTGCCCACCCTCTGGCACAGGCCAATCATGAATGTTTGTGCCTCTGCTGCCTTCTGTCTGTCGTGTAAACACAGGACCTCATTGCTCCTGCACCGTTATTGGCCACAGTTCTCTCACACGTCTGAAATAAGAGAGGATGCGACCAAGTCAGCCTGTAACAGAGATCATTGAGGTTTTGCTTCATATTTCTTAGATTTTCTCAAAGCCTTGTGTAAAAGACAATCATTGTATTGTGATTTAGCAGGTTTTTTAATCTTCGCATCTGCTGGTGTCTTTCCAAAAAAGCTGCATTAGAAAAATACAAATTAAGAAATGATCAGACCACATGTGGAGTGTGTTGCGACATAATTCTTTTGAAGATTTGAATTCAGTATGTAGATTTGAAGTCACCTCTCCAACCCCATCATCCAACTTTCCCACTGTTGGTTGCTCTCTGTCTGACACACACTGTGAGATCCACAGTGTGTTTCAGGACAGCACGATCTGGAGCAGCCATGTGTTTCTGACAACACTGTGAATCCCAGGAACAGATGTGGCATGGTAAGGCAGTAACACACTGCAGTCTGCTCAGTGCCCGTGTTGGCCATGCTGTGTCTGGTAAGTTGACAGCCCCAGATGTACAGTAGGGTTATTCTTGTTCTTTCCTGCCTGAGCCTCTCAGATTGGTTCATTGACTTAATAATAGGATTTTTTTTTGAATCCATTCATGATTTCAGTTCCTAATCAGGATGGAGATTGCCTTTACATTTTGCATTTCAGTACCTTCAGCTTTTTAGTATAAAAAAGATAAAAGGTTCCAGTCCAACAGCTCATTAGTTTAATTAAGTTTTAATTAAGTAATGAGCTCAGCTAGAATGACAGCTGGCAGGTGTGAAGGGGTTCCTAAGACCAGGGTTGGGAAAACCCTGATTTGGCTGTTATTTAGAAATGACTAATTTAACTGTATATAAAATAGCTGATTGACTCAGAAGTGTTCATTAGGGATGGTCAGAATATTGGGTGCCATCTCCCCAAAATATGTTTCATTCACACTTTCATATTAATGAGCCTCCATGCTGCAGCCTCTGGCTATGTAGTACAAGAAAACTGCTAAAATCAATTAACAAGTGGGATTCTGTCATTTCTATAATACTGCACTGAGATTTCCCATGCTGTAACACAAATGTAGCTTTGTGACTGTGAAGCACCAGCTCTGTCTCAGAAGAACTCTGAGATCTCATGGATTCTGTAATAGGCAAAGTAAAATTGTTGGCACTATCATATAGACGGGGGTGTGATAGTTTGATAGAAACAGAAATAAGATCAGGCTGTTGTTGTGGGAACTAACCAGACCCTTTCCCATTATCAGTCCGGAAGATATCTGTGTTAATGCCACATTGAAGGCCGTTTTCGATTGCTAAGATTAACTGGCTCGGTCAAGTACACACTAGAGCAAGGCACGTGCAACGCCAATGAAGAGAAAAAAGGACAACAAAGTTCAACAAAGGCACTTTGAGACTTGGTTTATAAATGCAGTGTAAGAAAGATTCCCTGTTTTCATTCTGGCTCTTTCTCCCAGATGTAATCCGTCACAAAATCTAACATCATAAATTTAACATAAGATATATAAACTAAAGGACAAAAGAACAGGTCCAAATGAGAGATGTCCATTATGCCCATCTAGCCTGCTTGGTAGTAGTTAATGGATCTGAGGATCTCATCCAGGTGTTTCTTGACGGAATCCAGGAGACTAGAAGACATGGCACCTTCCATGCACAGGAGTGAATATCGGTACACTGCCCTAACATGAACATTTCAAGTATTAGGAATATGGTGACTAAACCGGCGTGACAAGAAGATCCAGTAGTTCCAGCACAGAGTAGAATAACATGGAACCTGGAATTATTCAAAGGAAAAGTAAACACCAGGACAGATAACAGGTGTTTGTCCTGGGCTTGCTGTGCAGTGCGAATGCTCTTTCTGATGCAATGCCCATTCCAAGTTGCTTCATCCCTCAGCACTCCGTGTGTTTGACCAGCATCATTGTTTGTCCGCTGCATGAGCTTTAGCTGTGTCAGCCAGGAGGGTTGCAAACACTGGGGTGGGCTTTGTGGGTGCCCATCCTGGGTTGTCATCTGTCCTATTGTGTGCTTCTCATTGACCTACATGGTTCAGCTCACCCTGTTAGTTGGATTAAGGCTTTTCTCTTTAATTAAAACATAGACACAGCATAAAATACTGTATATTAGAATGCAGCATGGCGATTGTCTTCCTTTTTTCAATCAGGTGTGTTCAACCATGGCACAGTGTTGATCACCAGTGCTACTGGATAGCATGCTTAAATACAACACAATACAGAAAAAAATGATCATGAACATGAAAGAAATATTTTAAATGAATAGACAAAATGATTTTGTCTTTATAGAAGGCTGGTGCAGAATAATTATAATACAGGATCTGTCACAGCATGTCTAACGCTCAGGGAAAGAGAGGAAGGGTGCTCTGTGTTAGAGGGCAGTAAGATAGCTGAGCACTCCAAAAGCTTTGGCATGATTACCTTCCCTGAATTGTCTCCGGAGGGAAAAATGTAGAATACAGTTGTAAAGGACTGTTGAACAAACCTGAAGGGATGTAGCCGCCCAGGGCGGGAGGTGGATCCAGATGCAGGAGGAGACGAGGCCTGAGCCAGAGAGAGCTGACAGCAGGCAGCAGTGGTGTGTGCAGCTGACCACGGGAGGGAGGGAGGCAGGCTGTCAGGACAGCAGAGAGCGCAACTGGCAGAGTTCAGAACAAGGCAACAGATTGTGACACTGCAGAGGGGGTACCTTTGCCTTTGGAGTAGAGCAAATGTGTTTTTACCTTGCCTCTACCTTCCAGAACTGTGCTGTCCACATTGCAGAGAGAAGAGATGCTACCCAGAGGAAGGCCCAGCTCCATGCATGGTGTGGGCCTTCATGTGCACATTTGGAAACTGGTGATATTTCCTCTTCAGAATGTGATAGAATGAGGAATGAAACCCAGCAACAAGTCCCATTTACAGTACATATTTTTGTGTTGGGAGTAGTCAGTCCACCTCAAACACCGCTCTTGCTATTGAATGCATCTGCTCTGTTGCTCACAGGAAAGATGCACAACAAACAGGATGAGGATTTTCTCCCCTTCTTTCTTCCCTAGACAAAATATGTGACCAGATCAGTGATGCGGTGCTGGATGCCCATCTGAAACAAGACCCTGATGCCAAAGTTGCTTGTGGTGAGTTGGAGACAATATTTTTACCACCACTGTCTTTGCCACTGCCAAATCTGACATTGCCTTAGTGTTGGACACTATCGTTAATGGATTGATCCGTTTTTACAGTTGGCATAAGACTCTTAGCTTTGTGATCCTGCTCAGTTCTGAAGAGCTGCAGGAAAGCTGGCATTTGCACATTTCCAGACAAATATCGCTTAGCTTCCATGCAGGGCTCAACACATGTTTAGGTTGCAGGGGAGGGATGAAGAAAGCTTTGACTTTTAGGAAGAGCAACAGACACCAGTGCAAGAAGGCAGAATTCATATCTCACAAGTCTGAACCCAAGTCATGTCCCTAGCTGACTTTGACCATGATTTCTCACGTGACTGCTCACAAGTGTTTCTTAACCTCCAGGGCTTCATTACCACTGGTTAAGTGGATACAATTATACAATTATTTCCAACACATGATCTTTCTAGTGCCAGACGTACACTAATCTGTTGCAGCTCTTGTTCTTTTTCATGTTAATTCCACAAAGCACGTTATTATCATGTTCCACACGCGTGTTGTGCGTGGGGTTGAATCAGCTCTTATAGAAAATGGTACAATTTGCAAGAGGATGTTGAGTGTTAAGGTTAGTTCTGATGTTTCCCATTAAAACATAAGAAAGGTTTCAAACAAGAAGAAGCAGGCCATTAGGTAACTACAAGCAAATTGTGATGTACAGTAAATGTAAATACAAGTGAATTATGATGAAATATCAGAGGAAGATCAACTTCAGCATTTCCTCTGAGCAAGGAAGACATTCTTTGCTGATAACATGATGATCTCTAACAACGCTAGATTTGAGTAGTGATTGAATTTCCCAATATTTAAAAGCATGACTGAATTGTTAGGAAAGTTTGCTTTTGTTTACCAGTTTTTTTCTGTGTGGGGGTGGAAGGGGTGACGACTGGGATTCCCCACTTGTTGTATTAGTGACAGATGTTTTAGTTGAAGATATGTTATTAATTAAAAAAAAACATTCACAAACAACAGTTTCTTCCTTATGTTTTTGTTTTATGGCCACTCGGTTTTGGAACGGTGAGTTTCGTGCTTCTCATATCTCAGCTTACAGCCCTGCAGCCTCTCCTCTGACCCAGCCATCTTTGAGACAGTCACAGCCTCCTACTTGAGGTTCAGGGCTGATTGGAGGAGAGGCACGCCTCTCACTGACAACATTGGGTGCCTGCAAGCCCCCAGGACGCTGCAGTGGCATTGAAAACTAAGACAACCCTGGCTGACTAACATCACTCCTTCCCTCCCTTCGGGAATCCTGGGCACAGTCAGCCAGTGACCTGACCTAGGTTTGAACTCATAGCACCTGGAACTCATCCTGAAGTTAAATTCTTTAGCGATTGCATAAGGGATTGTTTTCATTTTTTAATAAACTGCAGAAGGGTTGAGGAAACTGCGAGCCCAATTATGGTCTCATATCATGTCAGATACTATACCCTTTACTGTGCCATTCCAGCACAAGGAATCTGCACCTCTTTCAATCCCAATTTAACTCTCTCGATTCTCTTGATGATTCAGAATGGGGCAGGGGTACAATGGAAATATCTGGGGATGCTTTCTAGAAAGAAAGCAGCACCTGAATTACTAATGCATTGATGTGTTAATATAGCTCTCACTTCTGCCTGGCGCACATGAGAGCAGGATTCTGGCCACTGCTCCAGAAACTGCTTCTTTCTGTCTATTATAAATGAGAGAGTCATATTAAAGTAATATTTGATAACAAAGATGGCTCTGTTGAAGATCTTGCACACAATTCAACAGCCATTGGATTCTTGTATCAGGACCTTTTCAAGAGGAAAACAGAGTTTTACCGACATCCTGCAATGAACTTCTGGGTTAGGAGGTTAATGGGGAAAAAAGATCCTCATACTCAGCCAAGCTAAAACAAGCAGCTTTAACCTATAAGGGATCAGACACAAACATATCATCTGGTAAAGGTCGGCTTTTCACATTACACGGGGCCTGATGTGATGAAGATGTTCATCCAGAAGGTCAATATTTATGTCACCATACACCAGAGCCATAGAAAAGCCTACCCAGGTTGTGGAAAACTTCTAAACTATATTGCTTGAATGGAAAGAATCAGTTATTTAGAATCCAGATCTTTATGCAGAAAAATCAAAGCTGTATACTGAAGCAATCTGGCAGGCCAGGTTTGTGTTACTGCTGTTTGCACTAACGCCACACTTCAGTTGTGTTGTGAGATACAAGATCAACCCAAATATTTTCACCACCCGGTAAAAAGTGATATATCGGATTATATAAATTATACATGAAAAGATAAAAGACCAATTTTAAAGGTGTATTTTAATGACTGATTGCAGACGTCACGCATTATTAAATTCTAAAATAGCATTCCACCTCCTAAAAACACTTCTGTGAGAAAATGCATCATTACTCTCAGCCAATAAATGAGGAGGTGTGTTTAGGACACGTCTTGATGCAGTGTGTGTGTGTATGTCTTTGCAGAGACCGTGTGCAAGACTGGCATGGTGCTGCTGTGCGGGGAGATCACCTCTCGAGCGGTGGTGGACTACCAGAAGGTGGTGAGGGACACCATCAAGCACATCGGCTATGACGACTCAGCAAAGGGTCAGCCACAGCTTTGCTAGGTGCAGGGGCGTGGGGAGTTCTAAGCTCCCGAACCTGCGCAGAATCATACCACTGCAATTCCAGAGCTCCTAAGAAAATAACTTAAATAGCCATGTGCTGGGCATGGCTGTACAGGCAGGCTATTAACATCTTAGGTGAGAGCTGAATTGCTTGAAAAAGGTGGCAAGATATTGCTGCACGCGCACAGCTCAGAGTTATCCCATCAGTCCACTAGATCCACTAGACCCATACTGGAAGGCATACAGGGGCATCGGCTGTTTGATGACTTGAACTTCATAGAATTAATAAACTTCCACGGGTGAGCCCACACTCTGAACTGGTAATAAAAATGGGACAGACCTTTGGTCACTGTACAAGAATGTATCCAAGTATGAGGAAGAGTGACAAACTTTATCAGGTGGATATAAACTATATAAGTAAATCTTAAAGAGAACTTAAACAGTGTTACAAATCTGAAATACATAACTCCTTTCAGAGCCCTGTACCTGATAGGCTTCGGTTTGTCAATTAGGAACTCTGCAGCACTGGAGAGCTCTCACGTTTCTCTCCTTGCTTCACTTCCTCCTTTGGCCCTTGACATTGTATGTACAGTGTTGGGCACACAAGCCTGGCTGGTCAGTTTGAAAGAGTGCTAATTGTCCAAAAAGGTATCCTCTAATTATTTAAACCATGCTATGATTATGGTGTTCACAATCTTCACAAAAAGGAGAAAAAGCCAACTCTGACAGAGGGATCTCTCCAGTGGCCCCTGTGGGATCTGAATAAGAATTCTGCTAAATAGTCTCTTTGCTTTTGCTAAGAGTTTATCTTGGAGTCTACCAGAGTAGGTTCAGACCTTGAAGATTTAAGGCCAGCTTGATTTTTACAACCTGTCAATTAGAGGAAACAATACCGGGAGCCACAGCAGCCTTTCGACTTAGCATTCTTTGACTTGACAAAGATGTTTAACTTTGAATCATGAGTCAAAGTCAAAGTCTCTTTAAAAGTCTCTTAAAATTTGGATGTCATTCCAAAATTAAGATGATGTGAATGGTAATCCTAACTAATGGATCCATTACACAGCCTGGACTGGAGTGAACAAGGGTGTGTCACTGCTCCAACTCTATTTGCCATATTTTGGGGTGCCATGCTCCATTTTTCTCACTGCTGGAGTGCAGCTGATTGTATCAGAATGGTTGATAAATTATTTGATTTCCTAACCATTAAACCTCTGACATCAGTCATAGAATTTCATTACCATCATTCTCGGATGATGCACTTTCTTGGACAGAAATGAATGTTTAGACCATTGTCAACTTGGTTATTGAGGCATCAGAATGAAATCTCCATCAGCAAGCGTAATATGCACACACCCCAGCACCATCAATTCAGATTCATGATGAATCTCTTAATAATCAAGAGCATGTTTCATAACTTGGGAGTTATGTTTCACTGAGTAAAGGCTAATTTCGACAAAGAATCTCCATATGCTGAAATCTACAAAAGAAGCATATGGCTGCCTTAGGATGTTGCTGTGAGAACTTTTAAACACCCACATACAAATACAATAACACACTTATTTACAATTATATACAAGCCTCAACAGTAAAAACCCCGGGAACTGACTGTGTGACCTCTGATTTATAGGATGTCACTGACATGGTGTGGCTGTGTCTTGGAATCGCCGTTATGAGAGTTGTCATTGCCTCATTTGCTTAGAGACCTCATTGAGTCCACCAAATTTTGAGTGATTTACTAACATGCAAAGTCTGGAATAGAATATATGGTAGATAATAGTACTGACTCCACATAAGCATGGCGAGCAGTAACAGGGCAGGAGATCTACAGTACTTATTTGATTCTCTTTGGAAGTCATATTTCATTTGATTCTATTTAATCAAATGAGATTCAGTTCATTCTGTTGATATCATTAAATCATTGCACTTCAAAGTACAAACTTCTTGTCCAGACATTATCATTAAGAAAGTTAACAAAGAAAAAGGCGGAGTTTGAATCACGTTTTTCAGCTTTCAGACTAGGCCAGTTGCACAGGGAGTGTCTGCTATTGTTTTGAGAGCCTGTGCAGAACATCTACAAGTGTTGTGCTTTCGTGTTCAGAGATGGACCTCTGTTCTGCTTTCCTCAGGCTTTGACTTCAAGACCTGCAATGTGCTGGTAGCTCTGGAGCAGCAGTCTCCTGATATTGCACAGGGTGTCCACCTGGACAGGAATGAAGAGGACATTGGAGCTGGGGATCAGGTACAGAGGCAAAGATAGGGTAATGGCGGAGATGGAGACATGATTCAGACACTGAAGGAGACAGAGCACAGCTCAGTGACAGAGGGAAAATGGGAAGTGGAGGAGACTAGCAGGACAATGTGGTATACAGTGTCTCACAAAAGTATTTTGTGAAATTACACAAAGTACAAATTACATATATATTTTTAAAACTAAATGTTTTATTCAAAACCTGAATGCCCAAATTGAAGACTTCTAAGGGTAAAGTAGGTCACAGTAAATATCAATAAAAGCTAAAGATAAATATTGAAATATGTAGGTTGCATAAGTATTCAAACCTGTGAATGCTGGAAGCACCTTTCAAAGCACTTACTGTATTACCACAAGACGTGAGTAAGTCTCCAAACATTGCACACCAGCATAGTGCAATTTTGGCTCATTCTTCCTGGCAGATTTGCTCAAATTGCTCAAGTTGTTTTGGGATCTATTATGGACAGCAGTTTTCAAGTCATTACACTGGTTTTCAATCAGATCCAAGTCAGAACTTTGACTGATCTACTCAAGAACATTCACTTTCATATTCTTGAGCCACTCGGTGTCACTTTATTCTTGTGTGTTAGATGTTTGTCCGGCTGAAAATGAATTTGTGTCTGTGAAGCAAGATCTCCACTGTGATTCACTTGCAGTTTGTTCCATTTACTGTATATTCCCTTCAGTCTTGATAAGTTTCCCAGTTTCTGCTGATTAGAAGCAGATCTACAGCACAGTGCTTCCACTACCATTCTTGACAGCAGGGATACTGTTGACTTGTGTCAGATGTAACACTTTTTTCTGACATTTTGAGTTTTACTCACGTTCTTTGTAGCAAACAAACTGGGACAAGAGACAATTTTTTCAGCTCCTTAAAAGCCCACTTTTTAGAGTGACTGGACTATTGTTGACACATGGACTTTTGCTCACATCTCAGCCATAGTAAGGTAAGATAATATCACTTTATTAGCCATATACAATTTCTTGCATTAGGAATTTGTATTTTTGCATACCCCCAGCTTGCTCTCCATGAGACACACAGGCACACTTGCTCAGGGGCCCAACGGAGTAGGATTCCTCTGCCAGCCTCAGGATTTGAACCAGCAACCTTCAAGCCTCAGGCACAAATCCTTAGCCACAGTGCTATTGCTCTATTGCTCTTTAGCCACAGTGCCATTTATTATTGTACTCTGTAACTTTTTCAAAATCATCATTAGTGAAAATTACTTTTACATATTTTCATGTTATGTATTAATTTCCTTAAATGTACTGCTTTGAATGTGTGGAGTAGATTGTATAGCGGATATTAATTGCTGCTTAGTGTCAGGTGTCATAACTACCAGCTTTAAAGCAAGAAAATTTGAAAACTGTGCAACGATTTGAATACTTTTATGCAGCATTGGTGATTTTACTTATTATTAACCCCCAACAAATGCCAAAACACAAAATGCAGTGGTTTTAGAGAGCTGACTCACTCTTTGCTATCCACCCAGATGTGCTGAATTTACAGAATCAACAAACAGTCCAACCAAATGTAGCCAAAGTCTACATTCAAGTCATTCACCTTGCTCATCTGCTCTTTCAGCCCTCTCTCTCTCTCTCCCTCTCTCTAGGCAGCACATAGTTTAGAGCTTCGTTACTCTTTTTAGACATCTTTACTTGAACAGTTGCTGCAGCTGGACAGGTCAGGCGGATCTAAGCCGTAGGCCTTCCTCACAGCCAGTGAGATCTCTAGTAGGAGCAAGATGATCTCACTGTCCCAGTTCAGAGGAAGTGAAGCAAGCTGTTCTTGAGTGCTGAAATGGTCTGTTTCTGTGTCTCGGCAGGGTTTGATGTTCGGCTATGCCACGGACGAGACAGAGGAGTGCATGCCTCTGACCATCATCCTGGCACACAAGCTGAACGCCAGGATGGCAGAGCTGCGACGCAATGGGGCTGTTCCCTGGCTGCGCCCTGACTCCAAAACCCAGGCGAGTGTCCCTCTCTCAGCTTGCAATAATTCTACAAATGAAATGGTGCTGGACTTTGGCCTCTGCAATGACTGTTATCTTTTATTTCAGTTGCCCACATTTCTTCTGTCAAATGTAACTTCCTGGATGCCGCTTAAATATTTATAAATATTATTTACAAATTCATAGATATGCATGATAGAGAGCTACAATTTGAGGAGCATCATTGTGGAGAGAGACAAGTCAGGCTGATTCTCTTAACATCGCTTGGAACACCCTGTCAACATCAGTGCTGCTCCAGCACATGGAAAGAGATAGCACGGGCCATAACAGAACTTATGCGTAGAACCAGACAGGTGTGTTTGGTAGAGAATTTGATCAAACTGTCCTATTGTCCTGTCAAGCTGGAGCAGAAAACCTTGTCCCGCATGGTGGAAAGCCATGGAAACATAGAGTAGGTTTTCTCAGCTCCATTTCTGCAGACCACTGAACCTGACCACTGTAAGGTTAAAGAGACTCATGGTGTGGCGGTAGTGCAGTGGTTCAGCCAGTAAAGACTCTTGGAGTTCAGATTGAGTACGTTACTGGTTGAAGCCTGTGAAATCAACTTAAGGATCCTTAGAATGTCTGTTTAGTGGTTCTGGGTTCATGGTATCTGCAGCCTGACATTTTACAGTGACCCCACTTATTTGAGTTTGCAGTGTTGTCAATGAGAGATGCCCCATGAGACCAGCACTCTCCTGTAGGCGCTATGGAGCTTGCAGCATATCAGCTGGCTGTCAACCCAGTGGTTGTGCTGGAGGAGTGCATGCACAGGTCCGGGGATTGTAACGTTTAACCACATTCATTAACATTGAGAGAGTCCAGTTTGGGAAGATATACCAATACAATATTAACCAGTGTTTTAAATCGCGGGCTGTTGATTTACCAACAGCCTCTAAGACAGGGAGCCTGTGGCCGGTGCCTGTTGTAGGGAAAACCGGTTCAGGGACGCCAAATATGTAATCATAGTGGCTCTCTGAAGGCACCAGTTCTGTAG